AAATAATATAGTCATCTCACCTCTAGTTATGTAGATCTTTAAATATAATTCTTCATATAAAATTATATGAAAAACAACGAGAAGTAAAATTACACAATTTTTCTAGTTATGTAATTTTTATTTTTAAATTTTACATCATTTTTCATATAAAATGATTTGAAAATAACTTCAGTCAAACATCATAATGCGCAACGAGAAGTTTATTTATGGACGGAGGGAGTATATAACAGTTGATTCCATTATTTGACCTTCAAATCTTCAACTAACCCTTGGGGATATATATTTGAATTGCTTCCCTTTCTTCTTTCCAAGCATCATAAAATGGAGAACCCCTTCACGCTCAAACTACGTCGTTTCTTCCGTTCATGCAAGACCAAAAAACAAAGAGCCGATGTCGTAGTCGACCAAGATCCTCCTCCCCCGCAAAACCCGCACCACCTTTTTCCCCATCAGCAGCTTTCCTCCCCACCCAAACCTCGTACTGTCCGCCGCCGCCGCACCTTTTTCCGACCAGACCCATTTTGTCAAAAATACCCTCCCGCTCCCACAATTTTACCCCCGTACCACCCGACCCAAAGAACTAAAAAGAAGCCGAAGAAGAAGAAAAAGACCAAAATGTCCCGAAGCCACCGCTTCAACAACGACTTCGCGTGGGCATTTAAGTACAACACTCTGTTCAGCAGCAGCGACGGCGACGGCGACGAAGAACGGCGACGGGTGCTGTTCTCCTCTTCGAGATCCCTCTCCTCCTCCGGCTCATCGCGGCGGCGCCGCTCCTCCCGTCGCCGGAATCCGGTGATGGGGGATTGCATTGCGGTGGTGAAACGGACGGCGGACCCGTACGGGGACTTCGTGGAGTCGATGGTGGAAATGATAGTGGAGAAAGAGATAGTTGGAGAGAGAGAGCTGGAGAAGCTTCTAGAATGTTTTCTCTCACTCAACTCTCATCATCACCATGGGATTATCATTGATGCTTTCACCCATATTTGTGAAGCTTTGTTCTCCACCTCAGAATTTTGATTATGAAAATGAATCTTAAAAAATTGCTAAAAAGTTTTGGAAGCTAAGTAGCTATGGTTGCAGCTGTCATAGTGGAACACTTTTTGTTCTGTTATAAAAATTTTGTAAGATTATAAACTTCTTAATTTATTGAGAGAAATATATATGTGTTCATAAAAGCTTTTGAAATTTTAGCTTTTTATTAGAATAATTTATACTCTATTGGTTTCAATTTTTGTCTTTATTTTTTTTTATGTCACACTATTTGTTTTAATCATATGGCTAGTATGATTTAGTATGTAGTACTCCCTCCGTCCCACTTCAACTTGTATGTACATTACTCAGTGTCAAATTTTATATAACTTGTCTCTCTATTTTTGTTACTCATTTGATATTATAATATAATTATGTCACTTCTAATTTTCTGAATCTTTTTATGCAGTTTTTAATATATAATTTTTATTTTTTCAATTTTATACATATAATCAAATAAATTGAATTGAAAATAAAGTTGGTCAAACAACTTAACGCAAACCGAAAAAATTCAAATAGGACGGATGGAGTAATAATTTTGTGACATACTATAAATTCATTATTAACTCTTTCATACACATTTTAACATCAATATAAGCAACATATACAGTACAATTGCTCATTTCTTAATATCTATGACATACAATCATGGTCCAAAAATAGTATATAAATAAAGTAACCTTTTTTTATTAGTCCTAGAGAAAATATTGAAATAAATAATCTAACGTTATCTTGATCAACAAAAATAATCTCACGCCGTACTTTATACCTAAAGTAATTACAATTCACAAATGGTGTTGTGCAACACAAATATGACTCGGCAAAAAATACTCCGTATTATTTTTATTTCAAAATTAATATTTAAACCACTATATTCTAAGAAAGAAATAATCAACCAAAGAAATGTGTAAGAAAACCAAATTGGCTAAACAATCCATCTTAAATTTGTTTACGTTTGAGAGGTCGTATACTCTCTCCGTCTCAAAAATATTGTCTCAATTACTATCCTGACATTTTAATATTTTTTGTTTATTTCTGTTTTTATGTTATTAGATAAAATAAAATGTTTTTGTCACGTCTTGTTTTATACCCGAATAAAACTTTTGATATAGTTTTGAAATATAAAATTTTTACTTTTTTTTAATCTCTATACCAATTTGTAAGGAATTAATTTTTACGTGGCGGTTCATGTAAAATTGTCCGGTAATGTCATGAGATGACCCAAGGGCGCGCTCTACAATGCTCCATTCTTAAAATTAATGGTTTCTATCCTTCCTAATCTCCGGTAAACCTCCCACCCCAATCCGATCCGAACACACCCCAACCCCTTCAATTGCACCCCAAGTTAATTTTGCTTTGGAGTCAAAATTTACTCCAAAATCAAAATTAACTTTGGGATGCAATTGAAGGGCCGGGGTGAGGGGTGTGTTCGAGTGGAATGGATTGGAGGGATTTACCAGGGGAGTTAGGGGGGATAGGAATCGCCAATCGCCAATTTTACGAACGAGGCACCGTAGCACCCCTGATCATCCCATGACGTGTGGTTTCAATATCATGAGAATTTCTTCGTAATTTTTAAAAACATGATATTTTGCACGTTATTCAAAGTAAGATAGTATTTTTGGGACCAATGGAGTATTATCAATTTGAATGTACAATGATATTGTATATTACTCATGTGTACATGTACAAGTTACACGTATAATACAGTTTTCACACATTTGTTTATTTCTACTCACTTTGAGAGCACTGGTAATGGTTATGAAGCCCCGGGGCTTCAAACTTTCTCTCTCTGCCACGTCAGCTTTAACTTACACCCAAAATTCACTGGAAATGGGTTTGAAGCCCCGAGGCTTCAAAACTGAGCTTCAAACCTTCATTTTTTACATTTTTAAATATACATCTTCTAAATTTAAATTAATAAATTTAAATTAATTTATTATTTTAATTAATCGCAATTACACTAGTGCATAAAAAAATTAAATTCATTATAAAAAAAATCTTACATTCATAAAAAAACATTCAAAAAAAATTACATTCATTAAAAAAATTACATAAAAAAACAATAGTACAAAGAAATCACTAATTATTCGAACGACTAAAGATATGCTCGATCAAATCCGCCGTTAGTGCATTGTGAATCTCTCGGCTTCGAATTTCTTGGCGGTTGCGTCGTTTCTTTTCTTCGGTGATTTCTTC